AGACTGAGTTTCACTCTGTCGCCCAGGCTGGAATATAGTGGTGCTCACTGCAACCCCCACCTACCGGGCTCAAGTGATTCTCCTGCCTCAGCCTCCCGAATTGCTGGGATTACAGGTGCCCACAGCACGCCTGGCTGATTTTTGTATTTTTAATAGAGACAGGGTTTCACCATGTTGGCCGGGCTGGTCTTGAACTCCTGACCTCAAATGATCCACCTGCCTCGGCCTCCCAAAGTGCTGGGATTACAGGTGTAAGCCACTATGCCTGGCCCAAATGGCATTTTTCTATATGTATACTTTAGAAATGGACATTTTCCAAGTTGAATGTCCTGAAATTAATAATAAAAGAGGCAAATTAAATCTCTATTTCAATAGACTTACCTCTTTTCTTCTGAACCATGATTTTCAGAGGCATTACTAACTTTTAAGTCAACCTCTATTCTTTTTTTTTGTTTGTTTTTGAGACGGAGTCTCGCTCTGTCGCCCAGGCTGGAGTGCAGTGGCCGGATCTCAGCTCACTGCAAGCTCCGCCTCCCGGGTTCACGCCATTCTCCGGCCTCAGCCTCCTGAGTAGCTGGGACTACAGGCGCCCACCACCTCGCCCGGCTAGTTTTTTTGTATTTTTTAGTAGAGACGGGGTTTCACCGTGTTAGCCAGGATGGTCTCGATCTCCTGACCTCGTGATCCACCCGTCTCGGCCTCCCAAAGTGCTGGGATTACAGGCTTGAGCCACCGCGCCCGGCCTAACCTCTATTCTTAATCTTTTTGGAGGATGCAAAGATGATGATTTTGTGTTTTTAAGAAAGCAATAAAAAAAGTTTAAAATACTGTTTAGGTCCATTTCAAACTGTACAATGACTTCTCTTTTACCTCCTCCAAGGCAAGCCATAAGAATTAATGTCTGCTTACAAGCGTATCATAACTGGATGTGTAATGCTGAACCCACCTGACTAAAAGGGAGTGTGAGCTATGGTTCAAAGGAGTTGGAATATTTCAAATTTAGAATCCTGGATTTATCTTTGCTAGTTATTGTAGTTAAAGCTTCAGCAGTGGCAAAGGCTTTTAATGATTCTACCTACAAAAAAGCAGGCCTCACAATCTGCTCTTCAGCTCTTTGGTGTCTGTGGTGACTACTGGCAACAGGATCTATTAAACTGGGTCTGACTCTAGACCAAGTCCACTGACTGACTTTCAGATGTGTTCCTCTCAGAAGAGAATGAAGGCAGGTGATGGACCCCTCATGGCTTAGGTTTTCTTCCAGTTGATTGACTGTTTAGATGACTAGAAGTTCTCAACATGCTGGAGTCAAAATCGATCCAAATCTCCCTACTCTCAAGCCATCTAGTGCTCTTACCCCAGGCCTCTGACCCACTACCTTTTCCATACAGCATTCTTACTATGTCATGGCCCTCTCTCTTCAGCTATTCCCTTGCTATGTTCCTTTTCTCTGCCATACGTGTATATTCTTCCTTTCTTCTAATACTTGACTCAAGTCCTACAGTGTTTACAAGGACTTATTTGACTATCCTGTCCATGGTGACTTCCTGGCCCCTCAGTCCCTCAAGAGCAATAATCTAAATGTCCTGGAAAACGCCTTGTCCTTTCATGTGTAATTCTGATCTCTTCAGCTAGATGGTACCCAAGCTCTTTGGGGCAAATTTTGCAACCCGCCCCGCCACCCCGCTAGAGTTCCAAGCACAGGGTTAGATAAGCATATAGGAGGCCCTCAAATATCTGCAGTAAGGATCATGTGACTGACACCTCACAGGAAAAAATAGACCACCACAATGTCAGATTACACAGACACATATTTGCAAAACAAATAGCCAAAGGTATTCTTTGATCCCCTAAGACTATAAATCTGACCTCCACAAAACCCAGTTGTTTTCTTTAATATATTCCTGTCTCTAAGGAAGCCCCTGTAGGCAATCTGGCTTAGACAGTTAGGGTTCAGAAACCAGTGCCCAACCCAGTCACTGAAGACACACAAACATGGCAGTCATGAAACTAGCAGGCTGTTACCTCCATGTAGAACATGACTTTATGCATGCGGACAATGCGGGAGAGTTACAATTCCAGACTGCAACAGACCAACAAGTTCAGGAGTACCTGGAAGGTCATAGGCTAGAGAGCAGGGGAAGGGGCTATGTCTTGTAGCAAGAATGTTCCTCACCACACATGGATTCTTGAGGGCTTCTCCTTCCATAAACTCCATGTTATTCCTAAAAATACATTCCAGGAACCTTTTCCAGGAATGGAACAGACAGGCTCCAATATATCAATTAGCTGAGTCAGCCCTTGGCCTACTAAACTCTCACATAGGAATAAAGAAAAAGACAATAAACAAAAACAAAACAACTCTCAAAACAACAAAAAAACATCCACCTCTCCCTGAAGGAGCTCCCCCTTTTTTGAGGCTCCTACTCTACAGATGGAAGAGCCAGCTGAATCAAAAAAAGTCAGATTTTCCCAAAGCAGCCAATTTCCAGGTTAGAGACCACACTGCAGAATGTGAGATTATCCAGCAACAGCTCACTATCCTTGTGGCTGTGAGCAAACACAACTGCTAAGTAAAAACTGATACAGTAATCTTGCCCTTTTACCTCTGTCCCTCTCCATATCTGGTTGTATTAATTTGGGAGAAAATTCACTCAGCTAAAAACAGATAATTTTGGATATGTGGGATACTGTTATGGCAGGAGGAGACAGTGATAAGGTGGGTTTGAAAGAAGGAATAGATTAATTCCTGGGTACAGGCCTGCCCCATCCCCACCTTATGGATCTAGATCCCCAGTCAGGGTGGTTATGGCACAAGGAGTCCTATGGAAGTTATTTAATGTTCCTAAGACATTTTGTTTGGCTTTGCCAATCCCAGCCTAGTCTGGTCCACTCCCCTTGCAATGGACTGGAGAGAGGGACTCACCACAGGTTGAGCATTTTCAGGCAGCTACAGAGTATATAAAGAGAAAAACACAGAAAGGAAGAGAGAGAAAGAGAGAGATATTAGTCCACAGAGGTGAAATGGAAGCGACTCCCTGTGAGCCATGCAAACATGCAGTATGTGTCTGTGTTTAGTTTCTTCTTCTGTCAAGGTAGGGTGAGTAGGCCCAGGCCACTTGGTCCCCACGTTAAAGTGGAGGTTCGGACAGGAGCCTGACAGAAGCATCAAGGTGGGATTTGGATCTCAGGCGTAAGGCAAAACAGAAAGAGTTGGTGGGAGCTCCAGGGTGGGCTTTCCTGGGTAACTTCCAGGAAGGCAGCAGGGGAAAGAGCAAATGACCCTGCCGGTAAGAACTCAATCAAGCACCAGGGGTGGACCATTTTGGTTCCCACATGAAGTCTCACTGTGCAATATTAAGCTAGCCTCCCAAATATTCTGAGGGAAAAATAAAGTCCCTAGCCTTTGTACAAGTCCAGCATGCCTGATCAAAGCAGCTAGCAGTTAGCTCTTCCTCTAGAGAGGGAGAAAAGGTTTAAGTGACACTTACTTTATCTTGTTAGAAGATGAATCAGAGGGAGGAGGGTCACTGCTCTGTATTAAGGTATAACTACCAGAGAAGGACCTAAATTCTACTCTTGTTAATGCTCAGGAGAAATGAGGTTCACATTTGTTAAATTATAGCTAAAGTCTGGATAACCAAAAATTCCTGTATTCTTACTGTAACAAAAATCAACGAAAAAGCTGCCTGTCCTCATCCACCCTTTAAACCATAAACAAGGACATAAGTCCTGGAGCTAGAGAAAAAGGGAATTCACATGTTCAATTTGTACATAGAACAAAACCTAAGACCGTTATTTCTTTCGACCTTTACACTAAACAAGCTGGGTGAGGAACCCAAAATCAAAAGCCTGAAAGTGAAGGTTTCACACAGTCTCCCCAGTACTGAGGTGCGTCTCAATATAAGCATCAGCCCCCTCTACCCCACAAGCAGGCTGCATGAACAAATGGCATCACAGCTGCGTGCAATGCGGGGCTGTTTGGAACACCTCGTGCTTCTCTAGCTGTGACTTCTTCCCATGAAAATGATCAACCAGGTGGACATAGGGCTACTTCCTTGCCTCCACACACAAAGGCCAAGAAAAACAACACATGGCTGGGCCCTGACAGTTCTCTGGGCAAGATGGATTGGTAGCCCATGAAATCACTAAATGCCCTAAGCCAGGAGCTTTGGGATGACATCTGGTCAAATATAATTGCTCCTCTATGCTTTCTACATCTTTTAGAAGATCCAAACCTGAAGCTGGTGGCAAAGAGGCACACTTGTCCTTTTCGCTAAGTGACAAGACTTTAAACTCTCCTTACATTCTAGATGTTAAATTATACCAATACGGAATACACCAGATTGAAATCTCTGTGTGAATGAGCCCATATCTTACACACAGAACACAAATACCACACTCACATACACAATTAGTATACACATTTACCAAAATGAGATGAGATGAATGGGTTCAAAAGATAAACCTATATAGGGCATAACATAAAACTAAAGCCCATTTGATTACTGCATTCAAAGTATACTATTAAATCCAAAGTTAAACTTCTAGCCTTCAAAGTAACAGCCACAAAGGTGAATTGAGAATGGGGTGGGAGCTGAGAAAAGGTACGGCCATCCTTCAAGCTCTGACAATGTTTGGATCAGACCATGCTTAGTACAGTGGTTCTGAACATTGGCTACACGTTAGAATGACCTGAACTTTTAAAATTATTGATGCTCAGGCCACATTTCAATCAATTAAATCAGAATGCCTGAGGCCAGACTCAGACATTTGTATTTTCTAACACGCCCCAGATGATTCCAAAGTGCAGCCAGTTGAGAGCCAAGAGGTTGGGAGTAACATATTGTTTATTTAAGAGAATGTAGCTTTGTATGGAAATTGAAAAAATGTAAGTACCATTAATATCTCCAAAGTCCCTGAGAATAGAGAGCATGTTTCCTTACTAAAATGGTTTTTTCCTGGCATAACCAGCATAACCCTCACCCCCTTACATATCAGTGCCTTACGCAAGCTGGGAGAAGAGCTCTGAAGCTGCCTATAGTTAGCAGGGGTTCAACAAGAGACAGTCAAATCATCCTCATTTACTTTTGATATATTGGGTAGGAATCCTTAAGTCCTGGTTTTCCAAGCAAAAACTTTTTTTTTTTTTTTTTTTTTTGAGACGGTGTCTCGCTCTGTGCAGTGGCGCGATCTCAGCTCACCACAACCTCTGCCTCCCAGGTTCAAGTGATTCTCCTGCCTCAGCCTCCCGAGTAGCTGGGACTACAGGTGCGTGCCACCACACCCAGGTAATTTTTGTATTTTTAGTAGAGATGGGGTTTCACCATGTTGGCCAGCATGGTCTCAATCTCTTGACCTCATGATCCTCCTGCCTCAGCCTCCCAAAGTGCTGGGATTACACACGTGAGCCACCGCACCTGGCCAAAAACGTGCGTGTGTGTGTGTGTGAGACAGGGTCTCACCTGTCACCCAGGTTGGAGTACAGTAACATGACCATAGCTCACTGTAGCCTCAACCTTCCAAGTACCTGGAACTACAGGTGCATGCCACTATGCCCAGCTAATTTCCAATTTTTTTATAGAAATGGGGTCTCATTATGTTGCCCAGGCTGGTCTCAAACCCCTAGACTCAAGTGATCCTCCTGCCTCAGCCTCCCAAAGTGCTAAGATTACAGGCATGAATCACCACACCTGGTTGGAAAGGACTTCTTGAAAGTAAAGTGAGTTTATCAAATAGATTGTCAGGGCTGGGCATGGTGGTTCATACCTGTAATTTCAGGACTTTGGGAGACTGAGGCAGGAGGATCATTTAAGCTTGGGGAATAGAGGCTGCAGTGAGCCATGATCATGCCAGTACACTCCAGCTTTGGCAATAGAGAGAGACCTTGTCTCAAAAAACAAATAAATAAACAAGATGGGCAGGAGACCAGGGGAATAGGCAGGAAAGACAACAATACACAGTGCATCTGGAAGGTGGAAGAATTTAGGTCTGGAAGGTGGAAGAATTTAGGTCTTAGTGGCATCTCACTAACTTACATTTAGAGGTATAAGAGTGTTCTGGCTTGTATTAAGCTACTTGGGGGCTCATGAGACTACTTAGGTACAATATCACTATAAATACATTGTCTGCTTCAGAAAACAAGACACTGGGATATCCTGCAGGTTCTCAGAGGGCTCACAAGAAAGGTCCTCCATATCAGGGATAGCAGCAGTTACTGACTCATGGTGTCTCTATCTCTCCCTACCTGGTATCTTCTTGAAGTCTAAATCTGGATCTAAATTTGGGATGGGGAAAAAAGGGGAAAAAGTGGTAGAAATGCTGCTTTTGCAGCAGAATTGACAGTTATCTCACCTTCCACCCCAGATTTTAAGAGTTTAAACACAGACCATGCAGCGCACCAAGGGGCTGGTGGTATGGGTGGGGCAAGACACACACATGCAAGAGAAGCAGAAAAGGGCGTGGGGCAACCTCCTTACCCTCCTGAGATGAGTATGACTTCATTCTTTTCCCACACTCTCATTCACAGATGCAGACTATAATATTTTTCTTGCCTGACTTAGTCTCCCTGAAGCCAGAATCATTTGAGAGTGAACAAAATGGCCCTGAACTCCTTGTTCCATGATTATACATCCAGTTGTTAGCCCACAATCAGAAATCAAATGCTATTCAGCATGGCCCATGGTTTAACAGCAGATTTTTCTCTATATCCCATACAGAGCAAGAAGCTCCACAGCCCCAAGAAGCTCATGGCTACTATCTATTGTAGCCCTGATAACATGATTCTTTCGGTTCACTATGTCTTTTTCATGTGAACTAGAAAAATGTGACTGTCTTCCCCGAAATCACAGCTAAAGAAGGGCAGTAGCAGCCTTAAAGTACCATGCAAAAATTAAAACAGTTAAGGAAGAAAGCTGTGGTTACAAGCATGAGAAATCCAGTCTGAGATGAGCAGCACACAGAGAGGAAGAGACAGAAAAGGTTTTTCAACCCATAACTTAAGAGCCCCCTTGGAAGATGTACGTACTTAGCTTCCTCCACTACCTCCACCTCGGCATGAGCTGTGATTGGTGCATTGGAGTGGGCTCCTGTGGGATCATCAACATTCAGCTCTCCATTGGTTGAGCTAACCACCTGAAACAGAAAGACATAGTGTGTGACAGGCAACATGGCATCAGAAATCTCTTGCCAGCGCCAGACAGGGTCACTAAACAGGCAGTGTCTGGAATGTTTGTTTTCCTGGCTTAAGGGATCAGTTTAGGGAAGGTTCCCAGGCCCATATCATGTGAGAACACTAAAATCAATGATGTAATCATATAATGATGATAATAACTTCCATACTGAGTGCCTCTACTCTGTGTCTGGCACTCTGCTACACTGTGTGTGTAAATTTAAATCCTAAAAAAATCTTATGAAATAGGTCTTTTGACAGATGGAAACACTAACAAATGACTTAACCAAGGTTTAGAGTTAATATCGGTGAATTTCCGTGAGGAAAATTTGTTCTAAACACACAGATTCTTTCATATTGCAAAAACACACACATTACTTTACTAAGTTAAAAATAACTGCATGGCTGACTTCTAAAGGTAAAATCACCTGGCTCCCTTGAATGTGATGGGTGAAGTCTACTTCTCTCAGTTTATGATGCTATAATTATATAGACTTAGTGATGATGATGTTGAAAGAAAAAGTTCAAAAAAGGAAGTCAACAGTGGGTACCAGAAACTATAAACAATCACACTTTCCTTCAGAAATTTCCTCATGGCTTTGAGCATTGGTTCGAAGTTACACAAATAACAAGACTGTCACATCCTCTCCGGCAAGAGGGAAGATGGTAAAAGAACATTCTCCCTTGGAAAGCCAGTCTTATTTCAACGATCTTTATTTCAGGTTCACTGTCATCCCACTTCTCACTGATGGTCCCCGAAATGTAAGTGAAGGCTCTCACTCCTGTCATCTGGTTAATGTGGACCCGATCAGGCTTCTCTTGCATGTGTAGCTGCTTCTGCCACCTGGTTGCATTTCCAGCACATGATTCCTGTTTATGTGGGTGCTGGGAAGTGGGAAAAGGGGCCTCACTGCTGGACAAAACACTCTGCTTGTTAAAGACCTTGGCTGAAACATGGGAGAGAACACAAAATAGGATAAACAATTTGGATATCATACGCCCTTGGATAAGTACTTCCATCTATTTGAGATTGTTTCTTATAGGTTGATGAGAGAATTATACAAGAAAATGTATGAGACTGTCTAGTATAATACCTAGTAGAAATAAGGGAAGCAGCATAGTGTAGAAATTGCCTTCATGAGCCCTAAGTTTGAACCCCAGCTCCACCACTTATTTGCTGTGGGTCCTTGGGCAAGATCCTCAGTCTATGCCTAAGATTCCTAATCTGTAAAATGGGAGAATAATGCTGCTTACCTAATGGTGTTTACTGTGCAGACAACCCACAGCAAGTGCTTAGCCCAGTGCCATGACACATAGTAACAGCTCAATAAGTAGTCATCTTACTGTTCCTCTCTCTCCGTAACTGTTTATTCTTATCTGCCTCTAGCTCAGGGGTCCTCACCAGCAGTTAATCCACAAAAATTTCCTGAATAGTCATAAAGAGGAGGGTGGGAGGAAATATTTAGTACATGTAGCCTTTGGGACAGATAGGGTGAAAATTACTTACTAGCAATCTATATCCACCATTATTTCTAAACAAGAAATAATTATTGTTCTCATTAATAACACTTTTTTTTTTTTTTTTTTTGAGAGAGAGTCTTGCTGTGCCGCCCAGGCTGGAGTGTAGTGGCACGATCTTGGCTCACTGCAACCTCTGCCTCCCAGATTCAAGCAGTTCTCCTGCCTCAGTCTCCCAAGTAGCTGAGATTACAGGCATGTGCCACCATGCCTGGCTAATTGTTTGTATTTTTTTTTAGTAGAGATGGGGTTTCACGACGTTGGCCAGGCTAGTCTCGAACTCCTGACCTCAGGTTATCCACCCACCTCGGGCTCCCGAAGTGCTGGGATTACAGGCATGAGCCACTGTGCCCAGCCTCCAGCTGAATCTTTATAAAAGACTTTTATTTATTTAAACACAGGGAGACTTAAAGATTAAAGTGTATTGAAAAAGACTAAGACATTGTAAAAGACTGATGAGGCAAATTGTATTACTTAATGCGAGGCATGAACCTTGATTAAATCCTGGACACTACAATATTAATTCTGGGGACAACTGGAATTAGGTGGAATGTGATATGAACTGTATCTTAGATATTATGAAATAAACTTTCTTAGAATGTCTTTGTTCTTAGAAGACACAGGCTGTAGTATTTTGGGATAAGATGTAATGATGTCTGCAACTTACTTTCATATGGTTTAGCAAGCCAACACAAAACACACACTTTCACTCACAGATTTTTATATATATATATATATTTTTTTTTTTTTTTTTTTTTTGAGACGGAGTCTCACTTTGTCGCCCAGGCTGGAGTGCAGTGGCACCATCTCGGCTCACTGCAAGCTCTGCCTCCTGGCTTCACGCCATTCTCCTGCCTCAGCCTCCGAGTAGCTGGGACTACAGGCACGCACCACCACGCCCGGCTAAATTTTTGTATTTTTAGTAGAGACGGGGTTTCACCATGTTAGCCAGGATGGTCTCGGTCTCCTGACCTCGTGATCCGCCTGCCTCGGCCTCCCAAAGTGCTGGGATTACAGGCATGAGCCACCACGCCCGGCTAACTCACAGATTTAAAGCAAATATGGCAAAATCTTAATAATTCGTTCAGCGAGGTTAAAGATACACAACAGTTGTACACAAGAGTTGATTGCATTTCCTTCCCGATTTCTCTGTAGAGTTGATATTTTCAATACAAAAAGTTGGGAGAAAACCAGCAAAACCAAAAAGTTGAGGAAAGATGGTATATGGATTGGAAAACCACAGCTCCTCACTCTAATGCTATCCTGTTAATTTCCTCAGTGCTTCATTTGCTTCTTGTGGACATATTCTGGTTGCACACCAGTGATAATGCTGGTAAGCTCATTCTGTGAGCACAAGAGTTACAGGAGAAAACATAGTAAGTTTCTAGTGGACAGTTCAGGAACTAGACAAGATGTTAAATAAAATGTCTTGGCTTCTACTCACACGAAGGAAACATTAGTAAGCATCACCACTGAGGATTACCTGGTGACTCTTGGTCATGGGGCCTGCTCACAGTGTCTCTCATGGCTTATACTTCCTAATTTCTCCTCGCTACAAATTGCCATTTAGGCCATAAGCACTGTCCTTGGGCAATCTAAGGAATAAGAGGTTATCCTCATTTTACACACTAGACATCCCGTCTGTATCAATGAGCATCTGGTCTCAAATGAATGAGACATAAACAGAGCTTCCATTCTCTACTTTTAAACTTAATTGTACCAAAAACATACCTAAGACTTAAAGGCTACACATCTGAGCCTTCACAGCATCTGATTAATTATTTCAGGTTGGAGGTCTGGTTTGTCAAACTACTGAACTGCAGGCAGTGGAACAAATACCATGTAAGTGACAGAAGAGTTGGATTCCAGGCCTTGTTCTACCATTAACATCCTCTGTGAGCCCTGTTTTCTAATTCTATAAGACAAGGCAAATGACCATGATCCTATCAACTTCATAAATATGAAGGGAATTAAATACAATGATGTTTAGAAAACAAATTTAAATAATTATAAAGAAACTTATGAATGTAAAAATTACTGACCTTTTAAACAATATTAACTTTATGGGTTTTTTTTCTTTTTTTGAGATGGAATCTCACTCTGTCGTCCAGGCTGCAGTGCAGTGGTGTGATCTTGGCTCACTGCAACCTCTGCCTCCTGAGCTCAAGCGATTCTCCTGCCTCAGGCTCCTAAGTAGCTGGGACTACAGGCATGCACCACCACGTCTGGCTAATTTTTGTATTTTTTACTAGAGACGGGGTTTCACCATATTGGCCAGGCTGGTCTTGAACTCCTGACCCCAAGTGATCTGGCTGTTATGTTTTTTCTATTAAATTTTTAGTATAACTTCATGGCTGGGTGTGGTGGCTCACGCCTGTAATCCCAGCACTTTGGGAGGCTGAGGCGGGCGGGTCACGAGGTCCGGAGATCGAGATCATCCTGACTAACACGGTGAAACCCCATCTCTACTACAAATACAAAAAATTAGCTGGGCGTGGTGGCGCACGCCTGTAGTCCCAGCCACTCAGGAGGCTGAGGCAGGAGAATGGTGTGAACCCGGGAGGCAGAGCTTGCAGTGAGCAGAGATCACGCCACCGCACTCCAGCCTAGGTGACACAGCAAGACTTCGTCTCAAAAAATAAATAAATAAACAAATAAGTAAATAAATAAGTTTTTAGGATAACTTCATTATAAAAGATAATAAAAAATAAGCTTCATTATAAAAAGCTTTATTTGTGGCTGGGCATGGTGGCTTGTGCCTGTAATCCTAGCACTTTGGGAGG